CTTCATAGGTGTCATGTTAAAAATAACTTATGGAATGTAATAAAATAACGAACAAAAATAAAAATAATTGTTTTTTTAGGTAATGCGAGAGATGCCGACAATGGACAACGTTAAATTTACTTGAGCACATACATTTTATTTCTATAAAATATTACCATTAATATTCTTGACGAAAAACTGTACATACCTATACGACTTTTTCCTTTCCCACCTTTCAGGGATACGTGGCCAGGCACAGTTTCGCCACCGAAGCGTACGGATTGTGAAAATTAATCCGAAAGAATTCCATACAAATATTGATTAATTCACAATACGTGCACGTAGTATTAAGTTTATCGTCTATTCAGTTTGACAGCCTATGTAAATGTGCTGCAAGGAAGTAGCGGTCACAAAAACCTTATGACTAACATTAGCAAATGAATCAGGATTTAGATTAGATAAACGATTAGATAAATCGAGGCTACATGAAAGGACAGAAGTAGGAAAACTGAAATTTGTAAATGTTATTTGTCTCAGAAAGTGGTTGCCCAATGATAAAGAAATCGTGAAACAGAGAACTTAATACCTCTGAAATTGATGCTGTTTTAAAGTTAAAAGCTGAGAAAACAAAAATAGTACATTCAGATTAGTGTATCAGGGACATTTTAATTGAATTTTTTTACACGTTTTAACATATTCGGAGTATCTTATACATTACCAACCACTCCTCATAAAACTATACAAGTACGCATTTTCTTCTTTGTGGGTGTTTAAGAATAAGATTACAATTTTTGTATTTTCCGGAGATATTCAACATCACAATTTATTCATGTTTTGAATAAATATTTTCTTATTCAGTACGTAGAATAATACAAAAATTTCATCAAAACGTTTGATATCCGAGTATTTACGTGGATACGTTGATATCCAGAAATCTATTTCCCGCAACATTACATAACTTTCTCTATACTACGTATATTACTCCGTATATACGTAAGTATACGGGACAGAAAAAACAATAAAACATTATGTGACGTTCGTGTGAGAAGTATAATCTCCGTACGTTTTCGTAAGGTACAGAGTTTCGACCGGAACCTTTCACTAATCTCGGTGAATCATGAATGAATAACAATAAAACTTGCTATTCGCGTGATTAAAAAAGACCAATACTTGAGAACTCATAATCTCATGTTTTTTTTACATCAGCTTACTTATCCAGTAAAAATCAATAATGTAAGAATATACCCTGAAGACGTCAAGCCTTGTTACAAGTAAATGAGAAGAATTGGATGAATTCGTATGAAAGCTTATCATAGCCAATATTCAATACTTTGTGAAAAAATATGAAGAATAATTATGTAAACCCTTGAGCTAGTTGTAAAATAAAACAATTTTTTATCTATTAAAACACACGATATTTGTTACATTTCCATTAATACACATTGGCTTCAAAATTAATACAAAGCTAAATGTTCGTTTACTAATAAGTAAACTTCGTATTTTCGCCTATTTGCCTATTTTTTTCCTTCAATGGAAAACGCAATATTATAGGTCAATTATTCAATTTTTTTACGGATAGAATAAAGGACATTTAAAACAATGGCGCAGGTCTCACTTTCGTTGTATTCTCTGAATTTTTGAAATTTGCGAATTTTGAAATATATTTTTAGGTATAATGCGAGAAAGTATGTGCTGTATTAATACCACTAGTTTCAACACTGGTGTTGTGCATTGCAATTAAACAAATCATTCATATTTTCACTTATGTTTAAATTAAATGAAAGAAAAAATATTTTGAGCAGCATTAATCAGATTGCATTTAATGAAAAGCATTTTTTTCCGAATTGCCCAACAATGAAACAAAAGGATTTCTACGACGATTTCTGAGAACAATGATAGCAAACATTCCAATTACGTAACTATATTATGTTTAATTCTGAAATTTTATACACAAGAACATAAATAAGGATAAAAAATATACAGTGCCTGTTTAAAACCCTATTTTACATTTTTAAATACCTATTTTTCCTGCCTATTTCTACAGTTTTTCGTTCTTATAAACAAACAGCTTACTAACAAGCTATGCCTATCATCAGAAACTAATGAGTGGATCATTAAGTGTCAGCACATACGAAATGTGACAGATAAAGCACAACTGGTAAGTGGCACAACTGGACAATCTGGTAAGCCACCTCGTTTTCTTACTGTAATCTGTTCTAAAAATAGTTCTTAAAATAAAGTCTTTTTTAAACGAGTATTGTTTTGCGAAGTTTTGGTTTATAAAATGGCAATTTATATTTTTTCTCAAACATCGCTCCGAGTTTTTCTACACAGAGTGAAGAGCGAAGTATACTTGAAAATATGGAGTCTCATTTTCTTTGAACTCTCTGAATTTTTGATAATAGCAAAAATTAGAAATAACAAGCGAAAATTGAAAAATTGTTAAAAAAGTGTCTAAAGAGCTGGTAGGTTGCCGCTGGAAAGAGTGAGGCAAAACAAAAAAGCTAGCCTAGACTGAAGAGATTAGGAAACCAACTGGAACAAAACATCTCTGCCATTGTATAGTACCAGTAGTTATTATATGTGTTGAAAAAAGCATCCAAGTTCCTGAATAATGCGTTCAAGTAAGAATATCACTAAAGGGATATCCACTCGGAAAGTAACGGGCTCTTTAGAACAAAGGGCTATCCCCTATTTTTTTTCGTGAAATTGAGTTATTAGCGTTACACAAATATTCAAATATTATTCTTTTAGTGAAATATGTAATTTAAATCCAGCATGAACTGATATGCAAGTGTTCTGTGTTCAAAAAAATTAAAAATGTATAGAATTGTATGAGAGACGTTGAAGTAAAACCTTCATTATCTCCAACACTGTCTATGTGGGTTAGCTTCTTTTTCTACTGATCCCTTCAATTATAGAGAAATAAGACTTGCTGATAAACATAAATTGTATGCTACTATATTAAACTACCATTAGAGGGCCACAGTAGCATCACTTATACCTGAAGAGCATGTTGGTTTTAGAAAACGGCAAGTTTGAACAGAAGTCATTTTCACAATAAAAATAATAAGCAAAGAACGAAGAGAGTTTATCATGGAAATACATATGGTATTAATAGACCTATAGGATATTTCTGATAATGTGGACAAAATATTTCTTCGAAAATTTCTTAAAAAAGGAGATATGCAAATAACATAATAGGAGCCATTGAATGAGTATATATTGGAACCACAGCTTCGATATAAAAAGATAATTAACGCAGGATATTCCCACAAATAATGAGTGAGATAAGTTAGCAGAATCTCGCCCACAATTGTTAATAGTAATATGGACGCCTTGTTCAGAGTATAGAAAATAGAGAGAAATAAAGGAATCAAGGGGGGAAAATTAGTATTTTAACGGTTTGTGTTATGCTGACAACTAAGTTACCTTGCAAGATCAAAGACAAGCTTTAACACGCGGTATATACTACTACATATTTTAAATAATGATACAAAATACAAAATTTTAAAATTTCAAGTAACAAAACCAAAATAATGTTTTGAAGACAAATTCTCAATTTGAACAAAAGTTGTAATTGATAAAAAATTTAATATAGGTAATCTTTGGCAATTTTGGAAAATTCAGGATGTGCATTGAAAATGAGACATGCGTAATTTTTATAAACATACTTTGCTCCATTAGGAAAATAAAATTTGAAGACAAAAGTTGGATAACCTCTGAGAAAATCTGAAACTGTCCTTGAAGCTTCTTGTAAAGTACCTCCAAAAGTCAATATATCCATTTCAAATTCGGAGGGCCTTTGACTTCGGCCAGATTATCAGGGAATATCTATTTTCGAGAAAATTATCTGATCGGTTAAAGCTCTAGCTTTGACCATTGAAAGACAGATAAACGTTTTACCACCCACCATTTTTTTGGTATCGAGGACTCTCAAAGTTTGGATTGTGACTGCACAAAATACATATGGGAAGTATACATATGGGAACAAGATTCATCCTATTTGATATTCGGCACACAAAATAAGAGTTTTTCGCCTCAATTCGCAGCAGCATTACAATACATTATGTTACTACGTAAGTACGTCGCAGGCGAGAAAGTCAACATCGAAGAGATAGAGGTAAAAAGTGACCGACTGATACGAAATTAATCTCCGAAGAATATATAATTTGATTGGGCTGCTTATTGATTTATTGGATTCGACTTGCTGTACGACCGTATCAGCATTATTATCATCTAATCCTGTGAATAAGGTAGCTTTAGTTGTGTAATCCATGCTTGCCATACATTGTATAAAGTTCAAGTAAAAAATAAAAAAATTCCAGAAGTTATAGTTTGAGGAACTTGATTTTACTCATCAAGATAGTTTTGTCAAGAGGGAATAATACAATAAGTGTACAAACCTCAAAGTATCCAGTTTAATTCGAAAATCTGTAATCTAATTCAGGTAACCCCTTCGCTTATGATTCTACAATACTTGCTACACTCTTAAATCCTGGGATCCCCTCAAATAAACTCCAAGACTTAGAATTATTAATAATGAGCTCACGATATTGCATTACAATAAATCAACATTTAATCGTGTAATCTTTGGGCTAATGAAAGAGAAATGCACAATTCCAGGAAAAAATTGCGAAGATTTTTCACAATAAAGCAGAACTATTAAGTAGCTTGTAATACAACTCGACAGGACACTGACACGTAAAAAAGGTAAAAATAAATGTCTTCATTACTATCACACGAGTCGTCATCAAATAAACTTTCTTTTTACAAATCCCTTCGATTCATTCAACTGAACATCGTTAGAAATAATTGCTTTATAAAAGTCAAATTTTTCGGAAACTACCTAAACGGTGCAAGCTACGTGATCATTTTTCTGGTTGTCTCTTGATAACGTTGTGTAACCTTTTTTCTTTAAACAGTGTGCAACTGTATAATCAAGTGATGTTTAAAAATCTGAAAAGGCAGGCTCAATGTAATGTGTTTTCACTGATTTAGTAAGAAAATTGCTAACTCAGAAGGAGCTAAGCATTTACATCAAGAAAACGATTTTGTTGATGATGAATGTAGCAGCAGTAGACATAAATCATTTAATGGAAGACGTTATAAAAAGGTAAATATTTGAAATGAAGTTATGTACTAATGGGAATAATTTCTGTTAATTTCAAAGCAAGAAAGTTGACGTTTTCCATTACTATGAGGGAAAGTTTCCGCACTAGACAAATAAGAATACCGTTATGACATAGTTCCTTTTGTTGTGTGATGGTTCAATATTTTATTCGAGACAACAATTTTATGATAAATTATCCGCGTGATATATTTAATTGAAAACCACGAGAAATACTACGAATTTTTCCTTTAGTGCAGACGATGGAAATCCATACGGGAAAACATCTTGCAAAAGGTGAGGGACATTTTATTTTTTAGTTTGCTCATATTGTTTTTGGTAAGAACGTTTTCCATCTACGTTTTCCACCTAGAAATACTTCGAAAAAAGTTTTGAAAGTCAAAAAAACGCAAACTTTTCGAGCATTTTCTGTTTTTTACGGAACAACTTTTAAAGGTTAATCTTCATGCAAACATGGTTACGTACAATTTAAAGGACAAAATTCTTCACAAATTTGTTTTATACATTATTTCTCTCAAGCAAATAGAAAGAGAGCTGTGAGGTTTTAAAATTTCACTGAATTTTTCTTTTTAGTTCCAAGATGCCACAAGAAACTAACGGTCTCTCTATTTACTTACCAAAGATTTTAAAATCTTAAATCTCGGCCACATCGTAACCCTTATATCGCTCCTAAGAGAACTTCGACACTTCGCTGCTTTATCGGTTGTTTCCTTCTCGAGCCTTTCTGAAGGAAAGGTTCGCAATAAATGTCATTATCAAGCTGTAACGTCTAGGTGTGTGTGTTTGAAGTGTGTTTTATTTGTGAGGGGATTTTGAATGAAGGTGAAGTGATTGCGGTGTAAAATAATGGAGTGAAGTCAGTTACAAAATTGTTCTAGTGAGAGGATGCGACTATCCTCGCCCAAAGAAAAATATTCGTATGAAATTCTATCTTCGCAGGCGCGTTGACAAACTTGAACAATCCGCTATTCGAGGGAGAGGCACGTGAACCAATTGCTAGCAATTAGAACCTAACTTTAGAGTCTGTGTGATCGGTATAAAATTCCAAAAGAGTGGGAGAGATGCTTTCCCGGGGTTAGGCCTCGTTTGTATAGTTAAGAGGCAATAATATCTCTCCCTAGGGACGGACAAATTTTGCCTGGGTGTACGGCATGACGAAAAATATTTCTGTACGGGATTTCCCTGTTCACAATTGGTGTCAATACATCAGTAAATATTTGGCTCTTTAGCAACAATTATACTAACTTTTAGCAATCAATTTGAAACTCCTGTCAAACTGCTAGTTTGGAAAGTTTATATCAGCACAGTTTTCGGGACCAACAGGGTCAGAGTTAGTAAAATTAAACGAAGGTTCATTTACCGATGAAAGTAAAACAAAAAACTTGTCAATGAACATAATTGAAGATAATTTCAATACTAAAGAGTATTGAAATTGAATGAATGCAGCCCAGGACATACATTTTTTCCACGCTAGAATACATTTCTTATTGGATATTCCTATGCAAAATTTCAGAAACGTACACTACAACAAGGTTACGTTGGTTTTTCTAATATATTCTCGAAAAAAATTAAGTGAGACAAATTTGCGATTCAACAAAATTCAGGTAATAATATCAAATGCTATTACCCCCGATAGAGAGGTATCATTGTATATTGTAATAATGTTAGCACAAACAAACTAAAACCTGCGTTTTAAAGAAAATTCAAAGGCATTCAGAAGTAATTTAGTAAGTAAGTAAATTTTAATAACCGAGCCAATGAGCCATCTCCATTAAAAATATTCCAAAAGAACTTAATGGACTTAAATTCAGTATCTTGCCAACATTCAACTCTGACAGTCGCTGGTGATGGGCTCAGGCATCGGGTATTTTTGCTTTCCAATGTTTAATCGTGAAAGTATTGTTGACAGATTGCCAATTTGCTTCTTTGACTTTACTACGTTTTATCAGAACAGCGGCTGATCGTCCTAGTCTCTTCCTTTTTGTTTGGACATGGGCACACCACACTCTACCCTGTACTCCAAACGAGGTTGCCGACACTGTCCTTCGGGTATAGAACAACCACGAACACTCATTCCGATGAAAATCAGGAGACGACGGGTTTCGTATACGTGGCAGTTCAACTCCGCTGGATTGTGATCACAAACGCTTGTGTTTGCGCGGCTGAGTAATAGTGGAATGTGCCAAATAATCCTCTCTCGAGCGTGTGAAAGCAGTACAGACTGTTTCATAGATTGATTTAAAGGGTTTATATAAAATTATATCTAATATCATTTATATCTAGAAGGATAAGACAATTATAAAATAATTTCAGGATCACAGCTATCTCAGCGACGAATGCAACAGGAAAGAGAACGTTTTTATCATTAGATCTTTTCAATATATGTATTACCTTCGTTATTACTATCAAACCAATTGATCGGGATATCGATTTTTCACTGATCGATTTTCCCTCGGGATTTTCTTAGATCAATAAAGAATGATATTTATGAGGATGGAATATCTGCACATCGTACGGTTTTAAGGTTGACAGCCACGACGTAATGAGAAAAAATAAAGGAAGTATTGGTCACACAAGGCCCCATCCCGAGCACCACCTCTTCCTCGCCCCCCCCCCCTTGGAATTAATCTCCAATCATATAGACAGATGTGAATGTACCCCTGGGGATGTGAGAAACATTTTACATAAGTTATTAATCACACTTCTCAATTAAACCTTCAGAGTAAGTCCATACTTTGAATATTTTAAAACGCATATTTAATAAAATATATAATATATAATTATATAATATATAAAATATAATATAATACATAATATAATATAATATAATATATATGTTACATATAAGATATTAAATATGAAAAAAATAATTTATGACTAACTTAGACTAACAATATTAACGTTTGACTTGACCATCTCGAAAAAACACTTCAAGAACTCAACAATCCATTAATCTAAATGTCAAACCTTCATGAGAAATACCCTTTATTAGCGAGAACGAGAATACAATTTGAAAATAAAATGACATTTCTTAATGTAACTTCTTTCAATTCACACTGGACAGAAAGAGGTGATGTAAAAGCTTTCAATCTTACCAGTCAAATATTTACGAGCATAATATTAACACACACAAGTTTCCCAATAAGTGCGATATAGGTGTGATCTATAGTGGATTTGTTAACAATAAAGAATATTATAAGTTATTATCTTGTCGAAGTAATATACAAATATAAAGTGAATGAAATGCATTTTCTACTTATCTTCAAGAGTTCGTTTACCACACAATTATTCCATGTATTACGTGCCTTACCGTGCTGCCAAATTCATTCTCAACAACACACGTCAGCGGCATGTATCATCATAGCAGCCTTCATGGACATTTATAAAGCAAGAAATTGAAAACTGTACCCGGAGGATTTAATTTTTGAAATAAATACAGCTCTTATATCATTAATTCCAAATGTATGTGTAGCAAATAGAGTCAGATATGAATGGTGCGATGCGGTATTCAATTTCAGTTTTCAAAACTAGTTCATTGAATTACAACATTAAGTCAATTCTCGAGAGACTGAAGAAATTTAGAAGAGAAGGTAACAAAATACAAGCATTGAAATACTCTTCTTGGAAACATTGCAAAAGCTTTATGTTCACAAAAATTGTTTTCTTCTACTCCAGCGACGAAGGGACCCTCGCAGCCATTAGGTATTAACCGCCATTCTTATGTTTCTTTCTTGGCACCGTGAAACACAATGAAGGTCTATTTTAGAAGATTTATTTTAAAATTCATAATCTGGTGATGTCTTCAGTTGGCCGTTATATCTCGAAATAAATATGAAACCCGCCTTGGCATGCGATAGGTATTGGCTCTGGTCTACTGAGAACTTACGAACACATCGCACAGAGTGAAACTAGGTAACGTAAAAAAACAGGTATATAAAGAATGAAGAAAAAGTGTTATTATTTAAGTTTCAAGTTTTGCACAGCGTTTTTCTTAAGACATTGTAACGAAATTGTATCAAATCGTAATGGCAGAATATACTGTTGTCGTTGTATAGCACATCCAGCGCTTTCATATCCCCGGTTTCGTTACTCATTAGATTAATTATGCGACTTCACGTTAGCTCTGGCATGTACACATTAGGCAACAACAAAAAACAACAACAACAACCAATTTAATTAATTCAATGGCGCATCGCTTTTCACCATCGCCGATACATAACTGGATAAACCATATACAATATCGTGAAATATCTTATCTTTCGGTAATGAAAACTTGCGGGAATGTTTAATAAGATTGTTGGCGAAGGAGATAACTGCTAATTATAAATAAAAGGTATTGTATGATATCAAACATATATATTTTAACTTAAGATATTTTCGATCGATTTTAACAACAAAAAAATAACAACACAGAACTTAATTTTCCGCCCAGATGTTGCAAGGTATGTACGACCCAGTTTGCTTACTCATCGCATAATTTACTTTTTCATGTATTCCTGTAATTTTTAAGATAGCTTTGATGATGATCGCTAAGCGATCGAGAATATCTTAAGTTTAAATTTATATTTGATACCAGACAACACCTTTCATTTCTTTATATTCGAACAAGGTTTCAGACTTGACACATTTGCTACATTTTCATGCAGTCTCTGGAAAAAACACCATCTGCTAACGCGTTAGTCTGAGTCGCTGCAGCATCAGCTGTAGTAAATTTCAATTTTATGAGCTCCATTTTTTAATAACTCTATTTTTTTGTAACGATATTTTTTACTTGGGAAGACATTTTTACTCTAGCTGACGTGCTCTGAAATTTTTCAGATAAATTGCCATATAATGCATCACATTTTCGATCATTTACATGCGTCAGAGAATCACCACCTCCACACAGGTCAATCTCTAAGTTCGGGATTGGTATCCCAACATGTGTGGTAGTGTAGTTTGATTATTTTGTATTTCCGAGCGCGTCAACTGCTATGGCCATTAGGGCCGAAAGTGTAGACCTATTTTATTCAGGAATGTGGCGTTGTTCCTCCTCTGCTAGCATGAAGTTCTGGGACCCATCTACACTTTGAATTATGAGGGATTCCCCCTTCTGCGACAGGGGGTTCCATCTCAACCAGCCAAGGTCTAAGCTCCCCCAACCGGTCAACAACACTAGAAGGGTAGATGATCGGCCTATGATTAGAAAGGAAAAAAAAAGATATTTGTTGATGTATTGTCCGCATTCGCCTGATTTTGATCAAAGAAACCACGAGAAACGACCAAACGGAGTAGCCGACCGCTAGAATTATCCTTCAATCTCTCGTGGTGTTTATTTCATAAACAGTGGACGGCACGGGGATGCGAAAGCCCTTTAGCCTACTTAACGATTGGTTTCTTCGCTTTCAGCGCCCGCAACATGGATTCGCTCCTGGGACCGGCGAGGGCCTTCCTGGTCGTGGGCCAGATCTGTGGCCTGGCGCCATACTGGCTTTCAAGCGATGGATTCGATCTGCACGTGCGCAAGTTCTTCTTCTTGCAACTATACTCTTGCGCGGTTCTACTGGGACTGCTCATGTATTGCATTCAGTTTTATATCGAGTACTTCATGTTGCCCAAGATGTATTACACCGTCTTCGTGCCACAGACAATGGTGAGATCTAATAAACTTACGCAAAATTTATACGTCGAAAAAAAATGCAAAATAGTTCATTGGTTTTGGGCGAAAATAGTTATTTACGTTACTAGAAAAGAAAGCGACTTTAGCGTATGAATATAATGCTGGCATGAGACATTTTGAAATGAATGATCGAAAGGCATTTCGTTTGAGTTGGGTACATTACCTTTTATCATGAATTTATACAAACATCTAAATATACATTCTTGGGACTATTCTCAATAAGCGAGGTGGCAGCCATGTTCATTCGTTTCACTTTCGTGTTTTCACGCAGTTCTTTTTACTTTGCAGTGACCAGTTGTTTAAAAAACAACATTTACGATTACTGCAAAAACGTTGTATACTATATAGACAATACAATACAGCACTTTACATACCAAGAAGACAAAAAGGTGCTATTCCATAACACAATATGGGAATACCAAATATTTTATATTGAGTGGCATCTTTTCTTAGACCCTTGCCGTCGCATGACGTGAGATAGGTCGTAAGCAGTGACACAATGTAGTGCAGCAGTAGAAGTATTAGAACTCAATCGGTACGCACAGTATGATAATATGCGAATAAGTATCAGATTTTTGAATTTTTTATAGTCAAAATCAAAATCGAAACCGTTTCATTGTCTTTGTATTTTTTCGAGTTCCGGGTAATCTAACGAAACCATAGATTGGCCGGTGGCTGCATAATTTCCTTGCAATTCCCGCGCGCATTGGAATAGCTGCAGTTGACGCGGCGACGTGCTTGGCGCAGGTGGCGGTGCTGATGTTCCTGTCGGCCGCGGGGGCGGTGTGGGCGGCCCTGACGCGCCACGCGGGCGCCGCCGCCGCCTTCGTCGCCAAGGCGTCCGCCTGCCACCGCCTCGTGCCCTTCGCCCGAGGGCCCTTTGAGGCGCGCGCATACACCGCCCTCGTCTTGCAGGTCCAGCGGCCGGCGTCATTACAGCCACGGCGATATCTGTTTAGATGTGTCCCGTCCCCCTCTGTAGCTTTACTATACTGGCAACATACACCTCTCCCAATTCGCAGATATATACACATACAGACAATAAATATACTGCGATTTGTGCAATTGTGCCCTTTGCAAGGTATCAGCTGCTGATGGTTTCATCCAACAGGGAACTTGAACGTCACCATAGTGACGTCACTATGGAGACGTTGAAGCTTTCGATTGGATGAAACTGTCAACAGCTGATAGCTGCTAGGGGTCGAGTTACGAAAATCGCATTATAGGAGAGAATAGTGAGATCTCCTTGATCAATTGAATGATTTCGTGGTTTAGAAGGTTTCCTCCAGTCACATTCAAGTGAATGCCAGAGTAATTTCCTAGGCAACGGGGCGATTCGCTCTTGCCCATTCGGGCCCTATTTCCATCCTTAGAGTCGAGCGGTGGTTTCATTCCTCACCTTCCTATGACCCATCCCCTATTACATTGATTCAAGAGAATCTCTGACAATCGTACTGGATCTGAATGGAAGGATACTCGGGTAAGGCAATCGTACTAGAAGGTGAGTGCCCTGAGACAGAAAACTATGTCAAGAGGGAATAAGAAGAGTAATACAATTCTTTATGTTTGTATTTCTTCACCCTTATTTATATTATCCTAAATTACATGTAAAATGTGTCGAAAATGAAGTTCCTAACAGCATGATTTCACTGAACCGTGACGGCTAGTTGAACTAAAATGAGTGTTTTTTTGGTTTGTAATTCAAACTCATTCAATTGGCGGTATAAAATGAAATTTCAGGCGTAATTCGAACATAATTATTTCCTATAGCCTATAGCTTTATCGTCAGCATTGCAGTCATCAACCGAGCTGCAATGCGGCTTGAATTGATTGTTTAGTGAGTTCGAGTACGTCAACTGCTCAGGGCATTAAGTCAAGGGCATGCGTTTTCCTCAGGAAATGGCGACAATTCTCCCCCGCTGGACTCCAGACAAGTGTCATAGTGCAGTGAATGTGAGTGAAAGTGTAAGAAAGGGGTGGGGAAAGGAAAAGGAAGAGAAGGGAAAGATCACGGGCGCTCCGTGGCCCGTTTGTTAAGGTACTGCTCGGACATTCAGCTGTGCTTATCGGAGAAACCACGGACAACTGCTGATCTGAACAGACGGACGCTAGAATTTGCCAAACAGAAGCCGAATTCCACCTTGCTTGTGTCAAAAATCCTGCCGCCGTCTGGTCGTGAATCCTACGACCTCCTGGTCATACGCATTGCAGCCACATCAGTCAATGCGGCTTAAAAAACTTCATGTGGTACAAGTATAAAATAATTAGACGGAGCCACCTTTTAAATGGTATACCAAGCGAAGTGGCTCAGGGCGTAACGCGCTGACGTCGTAATCGGGCGGTCCGGGTCTGGTTTCCCGGCCGGCTATCCTGACCGGGGTTTTCGTGGTTTCCCTCGGTCATAAGGTGAATGCTGGGATGGTTCAAAAAGTCCACGATCACCTTCTACCAATACCCTATCACCTCCTAATCCAATAATAATAATAATAATAATAATAATAATAATAATAATAATAATAATAATAATAATAATTGACAGCGGGGTCAAAGTTGCTCGCGTCCGTGGACTACCACACGTGTCCCCTGGGTAACGATTAATGAGCAGCAATAATTCGCTTTCTACGCGCTTGACCATTGCGGGCGTGCGGATCCCTACAAATTGAGGGGAAAGTCTGCGCGTCTATACTGGTCGGCGCTTCACCAAATGGCAAACATGCCAAGGGTGACCGTGAACACCAAGCAAACACATTTAAATGGTCTCGGATTCCATTTTGTACTTCCGAGAACACCGCTTCCTGAAATACGTTTCCAGCCTCCACCCCGAAGTTTAAATTAAATCACACGAGCAGGGCCCGCGTTTGCAGCTGGTCCACCTGGCGCCCGGGTGCGCGGCCGTGGCGGTCGCGCTCCTGGCGGCCGGCCACTACTACCCGCTGCTGCTGGCGGGCTTCCTGCTGCGCGCCTTCGGGGAGCTGGCCAAGTTCGCGCTGCTCAACGCCGTGCTGGTGGTCCGCGCGGCGGCCGACGCGCTCCACGCCGCCATGGGCGAGCTCTACCTGCGGCGCCTGCGCGGCGACAAGGAGCGGATGTTCACGGTGCGCGGCAACCCCGGTGAACCGGAGGACGAGGTCTTGGTGTTCCAGGAGGTGTACCTGACGCTCTGCGAGATGGCCGATGTGCTGAACGACGCCTTCGGGACGCAGATGGTCATTGAGGTACTCTCGGGTCGCGGTGGAACGGGTAGATGCAGCCATATGTAGGATTTATGTATAAATCATTACAGTGAAAACACCAGTCTTCTTAATTATAAGAATAAATCTTATTTTCTTACCCATTTTCTTTAGAAACGCTTCGTTTCTTTGCAATGGTTACTTGATGAATACCCTTCTACATCATTCAGAACCGTACTCTTAAACTCAGTCAAAACGCTGGGAATATTAGCCAAATATTGGCAAAGATTGTAATGTTGCAAGTATTAGCTATGCATTAGCAATTTTTTCTTACGTAAACAATGAAAAATGCAAATTTGTAAAATGGCACATTTGACGCATAGTTTGAGAGTTCTATGCTGCGCGCGTCCCGGCGATTGCCCTCGACCTCGCCAGCCCTACCTCAGAATTGCAGCGCACTCGCTGTTCGCTAACGAGTTAAATGACCTTCCGAGACTTCAACAACGCAGCGCTTCGAATCTTGTAAATGTGCACAAAGTTTCGACTGCAACGAAATTGGAAATTTACAAAAAAAGCTTTCAACGGCAATCAATCTCTGTGTCAAAATTGTTTTGTTAAAAAAGACAGACGAGTTTTTTTTTCACCGGAAATGAACATTTGTTTATAAATGGGTTAAAACTGTAATGATTCGTTATTAACTCAAGAGTGTTATGCACGATTACTTTCACGACAGCCCCAAGAGCACACGGTGAATATAAAAAGGGAAAACATGTTTTTTCCCCGTGATGCCAACTTTAGGTTGTAAATAAGCGTTGCACTTCTGATATGCTCCTGCAATTGTGTCCGCTTACACTACCGCAAAGAAAGAAAATTTTAAAAAAATGCATATTGGGAAAATAGGCAAATATACATTTTTCCCCTCTTGTCATCTTTTCGTACAGCACCTGTATGTACCGGCTTAGGGTTATCCAGTGTTTTAAATCTTCTCTTTCATTCTTCCCCCTACTACCCATTTCGATGACTTTCGAAGTGGGATGAAGACGGCGTGGAAAGCGTCATGCCGGATATTTCCCCCAATTTTTACCGTTAATAAAGCCAGTAAATATTGGTGCTCATTTGAAAATAAGGCTCAGTGGACCTTAAGACTACCCTAAGTAGGTCATGGCTGGATAAAAATCCTAGGCTACGTTGGGGTTTGAACCCGGGTCTCACGTTCTAACCACTACGCAGACGCAAATCCTTAAAATGTAAGAAATTTGCACGATACGACAATAAAATTATGTTTAAGTAATTGAAGATTTGGTATGTCAACCACATTCCAAGCGAGCATACTTTCTGACGAAAGGGGGAAATATGCGTTTGCATTTAAATCCTGCCCTTAATAATAATCTTGTCCTTTCGCAATTTCATGTATCCTAATGCTTGGACTATACTCGACACGTATTTTATTTTCCAGCTCTTGTACCTGTTCGTAAGCTTCACCTGGTGCCTGTTCATGTTCGTGACAACGGTGTTTGGAAACAACAAGGAGGACATTCCCAGCGCCATGGCGTGGTCCCTGCTGGCTCTGGGGTCCTGGGACATGGCGGCCCTTGTGGCCCTCACATCGGCGGTGGGCAACAGATAAATGTCTTAAGTGTTATTTTCAATAATTCATATATATATATATATATATATATATATATATATATATACATATATACATATATACATATATACATATATACATATATACATATATACATATCACAATGTCGTCTTTTAATTCTGCAATGCTCAAATTCTATGAGTGGTTTTCTGGATAGCAGGTCAAATTGCCGATAAGTAACCCATTTATTATAGATTGTGAAGTCGGTAGACATATGATCCCCGCCTCATTAAACGTGAATCTGCATTAATCTTCCCTCTAAATAGAATGATCTACACCAGAGTTTCAATTAGAGAATATACATAGGGTACATCATTCAGCAAAGAGAAACGCATTGTACTTAACACGGAAAACCGATGTTAATTTCACATTCATTTGCCTAATGGTATTTAAAATGTCAGGGAATATACGATAACACAATTGATTTGTATTGAATAATTAATCTTTTAAACCTGAAATTGCAAGAAAGTTTGGATAACACTTTCAGATATTGAATGCATCAGTTTACAAAATATGAAGGTGAACGGAGTTGCTTTTTACACCATAAAAACCTCTCTATACATCAAGTATGGTCTTTCAATATTTTTGAAATAACTACAAGGTTTGTCTCAAAATAAATGCGTCGCATTTTTTCTAATGCGTCTGTAAGTCGGAAAGAGGCAGGAGAGGTTTGGATGGGGTAAAGGGAGGTTTAGTTTTTCAACGATTCTAAGCTTAGTTGTCTCCGTGCCGTGGGGAGGTTAAAACGTGCGGTAGTTCGTACGTACAATAGTCGTAGGAGTCTTACGATGGAGAAAATCTTTGCATCAAAGATACGCTATCAAGTTTTGCGAGAAGCTGAAAAAGACGCCGCTGGACGCTTTCGAGATTTCACCCTTAATTGTTTGGACACTATTATCACCGGGGATGAGACGTGAATCTTCGAGTTAGTCCCGGAAACAAAGGGCCAGAGCGCGCGATGGCCAACCTCCACGCCTTCGCGACCCAGGAGGTTCGCATGCGCACATCGCGCGAGAAAGACTTGCTCATTGCCTTGTTTGACGCAAAGGGGATAGTGCACAGTACCATCGTACAAACACGGGCTCCAGAGCCTGAACAAAAGGGTCACTCGCGTCCGGAAGGAGATAAGCGTTTCGAGGACGTTTCGCCACGACAAAGCGCCAACCCACATCGCCTTCGTTGTCCCGGACTGCCTGATCCTCATTGGTGCGACAACGCTTCCACAAGCTTCCACACGGCACCGACTTTTCTCCAGTGGATTTATTTGTGTTCCGTCGGCTGAAAAGGGTCGTGAAAATAGCGTATTTTAAGACTTTTGATAACATAGAAGCAAATACGACGAGGGCCCTAAAGGACTTCTTCGACGAAGACCGAAGACTTCCCGAGAGCGTACGAGACATGAAAATTGTGCTGGCACCAATGCATCGTCTCACACGGCTCATACTTTGAAGAATTTTGTGCCGATCTGATTAATAAACTTGCTTTAAAAAATTAGACGCATTACATTTGTACCTTGTATGTACCATCTTATCTGCAAGAATACTCACGTGCAGAAAGTCGACTCTTCGTTTCCCTCCAGATCTGCATGAACAGAAAAGGATGTTACCAAAATATATTTGCTTAAACATTTATAAATCTTACGTTAAATTTACTGAAAAGTTTAAACAGATGAATAAATATAAATATACCCGTGCAATTAATCATAGCGTTTCAATTTACAAAGAGTTAACGATTCTGCAGGACCGGTTCTCCCTTCTTACCGGAGAGTGGTTTAACTCACAAAAACCGAACTCCCAAAGATGTAATTCATGTTCCCAAAATATTGTTTAGTATCTTCGATACGAACCCACATTTAGGCATCTGGACACAAACATTGGGTTTTAAGACGTACCGTCAAGTTGTGCAGGATCAAGGTGGTCGGAAACTGATCTTTAAGCAACCCACGTGTTGCGGATTTCATGTGGGTCCACTTGGTTTAGACGCGTCTTTTAACAAATTTCTTAACGGACGGCAGACGGTAGAATCATTTTACAGGACAGATCTCTGTCGTTAAGGCTAAATGTCTCAACACTAGTACAATTTGTAGCCACTACGTGGCAGCAACAAACTAAGTAAAATTTACTTTACCGATAACGTCTGAACCAATGGTCCGATTTTCGATCTGTAAACGGCATTTTACACCTTTTTAAAATAGAATTTACGCTACGATGATCCAAAAATCTAGCAAAAAAGCGAATTTGAAATTAGTTCTCAAACTTCCGAGAACAAATTTAAAAATGTGGCCTTATAGCGCGATGGCGACATGCTTCCTGAATCCAACGCCGTGACAATCATGCAAATCGAGCGAATAGGAGCGTCGTAAAGTGAAATTTACGAAAACACCTCGTCCCCCCCCACTTCCTCTTCTGCGCCGTTGCATCACACACCCGCCCGTTGTGGGCCCTCTGTCAGCGCGGTGGCCCGGCCAGGCCCGGCGGTTAAAGCGGTGCTACGTCTAAGATTAATTTTTAGCTCTGCAAATAATTCAGCAATTAAAAAATAACAGTATCGTTTTTCAGCTTTATGGGTACTGGCCTGCGATGACGAAGTTATGCTCGTATTAACAAATAACAGAGTTGACACCCTTCTGATCATCTTCTTGTCCTCTACTCCAAGGATGGATTCATGACCTGTTCTGGCTTCTACCAATTTCATTTCTATAACGATATGCCTCTGTGTCTTCTACCTCGCGTTCTACACATTACCGCTTGCTTTAGAATGCGTGTCTGTTCCATGTATCGAAGTCATACCTCCCTTCACTCCCTGAAGTCAGAAAGATAGTATTTTGCCATTGATTGCTTGAACAATTAATTTTCATCTTATTTCGCGTCGCGCTTCTGGCCTGTAGTCCTATGCCGAGAGAGAAAACTCGCATAATCGAGGCTTGCGAGCACAACCGCATGGGTGAACAAATGAGCATCAGCACGAAGAATACATTCGTTATGGAATCCCGACAAGCGATTTTCGACGCTAACTTATATATCGTTAGTTCACGTGACTGTGCTTTCCGCCCTGGAGAATGGCCAGTCGGCAAACACATTCGTTAATTTGTTTTGGCCGTGTCCACGTGGAACACGTGTACGTGGAATTCCGCTTGCTAGGTGCATTCCGAGAGCTGCGCCCAGACTAACGCCCGCTCTCGAACACTTGAACGGCACCTGCACTTGGCCCGAGCTTTCCAACAGTTTGTTCTGTGTACAGACCGTGTCATTATAGAACTATTCATTCATAATAACTAAAAACATAGGAATATTTTGATATTCTACGAAAATCTCAATGTGTGTTTGTGTGAGAGTGTGTGTGTGTTATTTGCATGTGATAGATCGAAAATGAAAACTGTAATAATTATTTACGAACTATGTAACGTAATTTCATCCATTACTTTACGAGATCAAATCGTACAAAGAGAAATATCAAGATTGTAGGAAGATAAATCATGGAACTCTACATTATACCGAAGACGCAGCAATCCTGGTGCCAGCGTGATTATCCCTTCTCCCTTGCGCTCGAGCAAGCAGTATATTTTCTCGAACTTTTGGATTTTTTCATCTAGATATACCTCTGTTAAACAGGTTATATTATTTTTAAAATATTTAAAATGACCAACTGGCCACATGTCATACTTTTCAAGAATATATCAATGCGTATAATGTTTTTTCCGTAAATGCCATCACTTTGGTCTTTGTATTTGAAATGTTTAAATAATATCCTTTGAGATTTTGATAAAATTAATAAATGGACTTTGTAAATTATCTTATCTTTAAGGATCAAAATTATATTTGTATGAAAGTTCATAAATATCAGCAGTCACGTTTCGGTCGTTTACGAATGTGAATTCTGGGCTATCCGGAGAGATGCCGCGGCCCTGAGGAAGCCTGCGACATGTCAGGCGAAACATCGGCACCCCAGCCAACGACGTGGCGTCTCCCGGATAGCCGAGAATTCATGGATTCGAGCCGCGGAAGCTTACGTATACGTTTACGAATGTGCCGCACATTTTTCCAGCATGTTATCTTCAGATGCAAAAAGACGATTAACAGTGAGAGCTGTTGGGTTGTTATAAATAATCTAGTGACTACATGATATAGTTACCATAAGGTAGTTACCATAAGAAAGTTTATAATTCTATCTAAAGATGAAAAAAAATCGTGCACACACACACAGGGAGTGACTGACTGACAGACGGACGGAGTGACTGACGGACGGGCTAACTGATAGACGGACGGACTGACAGACTAACGGACAGACAGATTTTCTAAAAGATGGACTGACAGACTGACAGTCGGACTGACTGACGAACGGACTGAAGGACGATCGCATGACAGACGGCCGGCCTAACGGACATACAGTCGGCCTGACGGACGAACGGTCGGCCTGACGGACGAACGGTCGGCCTGACGGACGAACGTCCGCCTACGGACGAAACGGTCGCCAACGGAACGAACGCGTCCGCCTGACGACGAACGGTCCGCCTGACGGACGAACGGTCCGCTTGACGACGAACGGTCGCCGACGGTACGAACGGTCGGCCTGACGGACGAACGATTCGGCCTGACGTGACAACGTCGGCCTGACGACGAGCGGTCGGCCTGACGCGACGTTCGCTGACGGAACGAGCGGTCGCCTACGACGAGCGTCGGCCTGACGGACGAACGGTCGGCCTGGACACAACGTCTGCCTGACGGACGAAACGTCGGCCTGACGGGACGAAAACGGATCGCCTGACGGAACGAACGGTCGCCTGTACGGACGAACGGTCGCATGACGGCACGAACGGTCGGCCTGACGGTACGAACTAGTCGCCTGACGGACGAAACGGTCGGCCTGACGGACAAACGGTCGGCCGACGACGAAAGGGCGGCCTGACGGACAAAATCGGCCTGACGACAGACGGTGTCCTGACGAACGGTTGTCCTTGACAACGGACGTTGTGCCTGACG